TACGTTTTTATTGGGTTGCGGGCTTTTTGTTGCGCATGGGAAATAGTGATTTGAATGTGAGATAGATAAATTATATTTAATAAAAATTATTAATGGGTAATGGGGAATGTGTATTTTCAATTGATCATGTTTTTTTCTATTGCATTAACTTAAGAAGTAAAAATTTATTTAAAAAGCATGAATAGAAGAAATAATTCAAATATACTATTTGTCATAAAAAAAGAATAAACGCGACCAAAAGATTTTTAATTTTATTTTAAATAAAAGAATCAAGAGGGATATAGTGTAAATGAAAAATAGTAAGAAAAAATTAGAGCAGACAGGATCACAACATATAAGTTATAAATGATTTTTAATAATTCAACATTCATAACTAGAAAATAAAAGATATTCAAGTATCTCAAAAAATAAAGAATCAAACTTTGTATATATTGAATCACATTAAAAAATATATATAGTATTGTCATTAAAAAACTAATATACTATTAAAATAGTCATAAAAACTTCTAAAATATAAAAATTATAATTAAAATATGTAAAGACCAAAATTGAGATAAAATAAATTTATTATTTTATTTTATTTTTATTATTAATAATAGTATTTTTATTATTTTATTTTTAAAATACAATAACAATAAAAGTACGAAAATATTATTAGTATTTTATTTATATTAAAATAAATACTAATAATAACAATAAATTATTATTAGTATCAATTTACATTTATCTTCTAAGGTAAGGCTCATTGATCTAATGAAAAATGATTATTTTTCTTTTGGATACTTATGTTAAATGATAAATCGACTTTGTTTCTATCTCAATTTTGGCCATTTAAATTTTTTTTCCTAATAAAGAGTTCAAAAGAGACAATAATACATTTAGAAAATAGCTAGAGAACGCTATTATTGTTATAAAAAAAAAACTAATGTAATGTTAAAATATTCATAAAAAAATAAAATATAACAAAATATGGTTAAAATCATAAAGGATGAAATTGACACAAAATCAAGAAAGAAAAAAAATCACTTTTTCCATTGGCATTTAAGATCCATGGGCTTTATGTTATATGATAAAAATAATTTATAAAATAAAATTAAAATATTATTTCATAATAGAGGCATAATACAAAATAGCAAAAGAAAGCTGGAAGGGACAATAGCATAAATAAATAACATATAGGCAATCAAAATAAAATAATAATAATATTAATAATAAATAATAATAAGTGTTATTTTATTCTTATGTTCAAATTTATAATAAAAAATTTAAAACTATTCAAGAATCTAAATCCTTAGTTTTTCGATCTAATTGAGTTTCACGACCTATGAGATAGATAGATCAAACCATTTATTTTCTACATGTAAAATGTCATAGTACAATTTGAAAAAGGATAAGCTTTCTATGCTTCCCCTACCATATAAAAATTATATACTTCCAACCGTCCATTCTGAATGGAAGGCTAAGATTGCCCTAATCACAATGCCACATCTCTAAACTATTTTATTTTTAATTTTTTTTCTACAAAACTATTTTGACACCAAATTTTGGACATTTAATCTTATATTAAATTCGCACTAGCTAAGAATAATTATTTTCAATAAAATAAAATAACCAAAATACCCTTGAAAATTTTAAGGGGTATTTTATTCATTATATTTTAACTAAAAATTATTTTTAATATTTTTTATAGATGCGCTCCAATAAGAAAATGGCACATACCAAATTTTATATTCATACAATTTGTATAAAAAAAACTAAAAAAAAAAATACTCTGAGACGTCGGATCTAAGATCAAACGGTGAGTGGTTATCTTGATTAAAATTGGACGGCTGGATGGTAGGGGAAACATAGATCTTCTATGTTGTAGGAGAAGCATAGAAACCTTTCCCTTTGAAAAATATGTCACTATTTTATTACTATGTTCAAGTTTATAATAAAAAATTAGAACTATTCAAGAATCTAAATATTATTACTATGTTCAAGTTTATAATAAAAAATTAGAATTATTCAAGAATCTAAATATTTAGTTTCTTCAATCTAATTGAGTTTCACAACCTAAAAGAGAGATCAAATCACCATTTTATTACTATGGTCTACAAAGAGACTATATATTTTTTTTAACGTAGTGGTCACAATCATTAAATGTCAAATTAGACGGTTTAAGATGAGCCACAAAATTCAAGAATTTTTTTCTTTCGAACTTTGTGTCTATTTAATAACATTTCTACAACTACCTATTTTGAAACTTAAGGGAGACGAATGATTGTGACCCATGTATAAAAGACAAATAATCTTCGTGTAAACAATCTCGTGGCATAGTGAACCATTCCATTGGTTTAGGTTAGTGTCTTAAAAATTGGAGAACCAAGCAATCCGAGTCCACTTCAGGAGTTCAAAGTCGGCTTCTTGACTCAAAGCATTAAGGATATCACCAAAAGGAAATTTTTATGCAATCCGAGTCCACTTCAGGAGTTCAAAGTCGGCTTCTTGACTCAGAGCATTAAGGATATCCCAAAAGGAAATATTTGTTATTATGAAACTACTTAAAACTTTTTGTTATTACATTCATGTTCATTTTGTAAAGTTCAGATCATTTTTCATTTTTTTTTGCAAAGAAATAAGACTATCAACTTCAAATTTTCAAAACATGGTCCTGATTTCAGTTTTTGAAAACCCAAAATGCAGCCCTTTCCTCATACTTTACTGGTTTTTGGCAGACAACTCTCGAGTTCGATGACTGAGTTGTCTTTGCAGACAATACTTACTTTGGACGAAGAAGGTGAGTAGCAGAGATCAGCAGTGGTGTTCCAGGCATTCAATGCTGGTGGGCATTCAAGATACTTCCTCAGCTGCTAAGGATATGGGTTTGAGAGGTGGTTGTGAAATGGGAAGGAAGAAAACCCATGAAAAGAGAAGCACGACCGGTGCAAGGAAAGGTGCCATGCGTGAGTTTTTGCAGGAACAGAGTTGATTGAGGGAGAGAGAGAGAGAGACTTGTAAGGATTCTGCAATGAGGTTTAGGAGGGAAAGAGAGAAGAAAGCAGACTACTGTGCAAGTGGATTTTTGGTTTGAGTGGTATTCTGAAGAGCAGAGAGAGGGACTTTCCCAAATGCTTCTGATTTCAATAGAAACTGAGAAATCCTCTGCGATGAGTTTAGAGAGCGACGGAAAATGTAAGTTTTTGTCAATAAGAATAGAGTGAGAGAGTGAATATTATCCCCAAAATATCCCAAATTTCATTGGAAAATGAGAGTTTGCCTGAAATATATTTGGTGCTTGAGCTGGGCTGTAGAGAGAGAGTGATACCACAACGGTTAGCACATGGAGTGTATTGATCTGGATGTAGGTTGCTTGATTGATGGAGGTGGTTGCCGGCACCACGTCCACAACTGACTTCTCCGATGCATCTTTTCTGATTGCCGCAATATTTATTTAATTATTTTATTAAGACTGCCGTTGGTGGCACCAGATTTTTAAAAAATACAAAAATAAAAATTCGGATTAATTTTGAATTTTTTTAAAATCAAAATATTTAGTAATTTTGATTTTGAAAAATCAAAATATTTTCAATATTTCTGTTTTTCAAAAACCGAAAATAGGCGGTTTGTCTTTTTTTAAAAAAATATTATGAAATTAACGGAAACTAAAAAGTATTTTTGTAATAACGATAAATATAACGGATATATACATAATTTTTTCTAAAAATAATGTATATCTCAAAAATCCAATAGAGTATTTTGAAGTTGGAAAACTTTACAATTGATCATCGACATTGAGAGAAATGGGTTTCAAGTCCCAAAAATAATATTGTTTGTGTAACATGTTACGTAGACTTTTTATTTTTTAGATTTTTAAGTGTTTATAGATCTGCTCAATCAATTTATAATTTACGGTTCAACATAGATTTTCAAGTTATCGTAAGATTTCTAACACTAAAACTATTCGTACCAGGAGCTCATTGTAAGAAATCTAACATATCTCTCCTCCTTTATTTGGGTTTGGGACCGGCAAAACAACACGGGCCGGACAAGACGGAGTTTATCAATTAATTTTTTTGATAAAATTTTAAATTTTGCCAGTTAAAAATATTAATTTTTTTTAGCAATGGACATAGACCCCGACTTGGGACCCAACGGACATACCCGATACGGGTTCATGTATGGATCCAACATTTAGACTCGCAGGTTGGGTCTAGGTCCAAAACCATGACTCAAAAACTATTTGAGTCTGGGTCTGGGTCTGGGTCTGGGTCTGGGTCTGGGTCTGATTGGATCAGACCTTTACTCATAAACTGTTGGTGATAAAATATTTCAATTCATATTTGTTTGGGTGTATTAAGAATCATATACAATAAAAATTTATAGTCATCTTTAGCTATTAAACAAGAAATCAAACGACTTTAAATATAAATAATAATGAGACTATTTACTTTTGGTGCAAGTCGGTCACAATTAATATTCATTATTATATATGAAAGTGTGTGGCTGCATTATTTCATTGACCAAGATCAAAATTCAAAGTAAATTTTATCGTGACACAACCAAACAATGAGAGTTTACATTGGATGGTTGCATTGCATACAATCTCTTAAATTTAATTGTTAGTGATTGTGAACTTGTTGCCGGGTGTATGTATTATAAAAATAAATAAATCATAGCAGCGGTAATGGACTCAATCAGACTCGACGGGTACGAGCATGATCCAGCTTTTGGACCCGAACACATTTTAGGTCTGGGACGAGTCTGGCCCCAGGCGGACCCGACCCATTGCCACCCCTTCTCACGAGAACCTTAGTCTATACTTCCACCAACCCAATGTTTGAGAGAGAGAGAGAGAGAGAGAGGAACCCTACGTTTAAAGGGAAAGAGAGAACTTGGGCAAGTTTAATTTTGAACTGAGGACTCGCAAAGTTGCAGCGAGAGAGTATGTGTAAAGTGGCGGTTTCTTCTACCCTCATGAACTTGTCCTAGGTACGTTTTCCCTAATCTCTCTGTAACCTTTCCATTTCCTTTGTTTTTTCCTTGAGGTCTTATTCGGAAATGGTGTTATGGGCCCTTTTAATGTTAATGTCTTTTGCAAAACCCCATTCTTTCTCTCTCTACAAACCCCATTATCTCCTTTCCCTAGTCATACCACTTTCTTTTCCTTCTCCCCACGAACACTTTTCATCAGGGCCATGTCCTCTCTCTTCTCCTCCTCTTATTATTGGGCTCCGTCTTCTTCATCTTGTACAGTTAAGTTTCTTGTAGACTCTGTTGGGCTCTCAAGGGAATCAGCCATTGCTGCTTCTTCCCGCCTTGGTAACTTCAAAACCCCTGAAAAGCCCCTCTCTGTAATAAACTTCCTCAAAAGCTCGGGTTTCAATGAAACCCACATTCATGATTTTATCAGGGTACGACCCCAAGTTCTCAAATGCAGTGTAGAGAAAACCCTAAAGCCAAGATTCGAATTGCTCCAAAGTTTGGGCCTTTCGGGTCCTGAACTCGCTTCTTTCCTCTCTTCTAGCCCATTCATCTTCTGCTACAGCATAGATAAACATCTTAAGCCATCCATCCTCTTCCTCAGAAGCTATTTCAGCAGCAATGAAGAATTTTTAAGTGCTATAAAGCACTGTAAGCGCTCCAAGATGGTTGTTCTGGGGAATATAATGAAACCCAACTTGGAGTTTTTGGAGAGTTGTGGCATTGCTAGGCCGACACTCCAGAAGTTCATGCTTAGCAGGCCAGGTTTTTTCTATCAGAGTACTGAGAGGCTTCAGCAGGTCGAAGAGAGAGTTCGAGAGTTGGGTTGTGACCCAAAATCAAAGATGTTTTTCTATGCAATTTATACCATGAGTTCGTTGAGCGAGAAGAAATGGAAGGCTAAGCTTGAGCTTTTGGAGAGTTTTGGTTTTTCAAAAGGAGAGGTCTTCACTATGTTTTCTAAGGCGCCATATTTGATGTCCCGATCAGAGGAAAGGTTAATGAAAGTTATGGATTACTTCCTCAATGAGCTCAAATATGATAAATCTTTCCTAGCTTCACGCCCAGTCTTGTTCTGTTATAGTTTAGAGAAAAGGGTGATTCCTAGGTTTAATGTGTTGCAAGCTTTGAGATCAAGTGCTTTGCTCACAAGGGATGTGAATTTAGCAAATGTTTGTTTTATTTCGGAGGAGTCATTCTTGCAGAAGTATGTATTCAGTTTCGGGGAACAAGAGGAGTACCTGTTGAATATTTTTAAAGGAAATAGAGAAAATGATGAAATTGATGCTATGGCGAAGGCTTCATCTTCTTCTCCTCTCTCGCTTCCTCTCACTGGTGATGAGGTAAACTTAATGTCTCCTTCTAATTCATCTCTCTCACCTCCTTGTAATAGTAAGGAAATGGCCTTATCATCAGCTTCTTTGATGGTTAAACAACTGATAGACTCAGTTGACCTTTCAGAGGAGGCGGCAATTGCAATATCTCACCAATTTCCCCACTTTAAATCCCCTAAAAGGCCTCTCTTTGTGTTAAAATTCCTCAAAAACATTGGCCTCCATGATACCCTTATCTCTAATATCATCACCAAGGTTCCCCAAATTCTTACCACCACAACTCTAAAATCCAAATTCAAATTGCTACAAGATTTGGGTCTTTCTGGATCTGATCTTGGCATATTCCTCTCTTCAAATCCAGCTTTTATTACCTGTAGTACCAAGAAGCATCTCGAACCGTCCGTGCTCTTTCTAAAGAGTATTTTGAAAACAAATGAAGACATTTTGAGTGTTCTAAAACGACATAGTCAGCTTGTTATGGCCAACCCCAAGAAGGCATTGTTGCCCAACATAAGGTCTCTGCTGAGCTATGGAGTTGGTGCCTCCCAATTAGAGGAGTTCATGTTGGCAAAGCCTGCCAGTTTTACACAGGAACCCAAGTGGTTTAAGGAGATATTGGGAAAAATTAAGAAGTTGGGACTTGATTGTCAGAGTAACGTGTTCTCTCGCGCAGTTTTATGCATGTGTTCCCTGAGCAAGGATACGTGGCAGAGTAAGCTGAAGACCTTTGAGAGTTTTGGGTGGTCAGAAGAAAATGTTCTATCTGTGTTTATCAGGAACCCTTTGTTACTGGAAATGTCAGAGAAGAAGTTGCAAAAGGTTATTTATGGTATTATTAACATACTGAATTTCGATAAAGATTATTTGGTTTTGCACCCTTCTCTTCTTTGTTTTGATTTTGAGGGAAGAGTTCTTCCGAGGCATAAGGTGTTGCAGGCTTTGAAATCAAAGAATTTGGTTAAAAAGGATATAGGATTATCAGGCATTTGTGGACTGACAGAGGAGAAGTTTTTGCAGTATTTGTTGGGTTTTGGGGATGAAGCTGACTTTTTATTGAGGATTTATAACGCAAGCAAGGAGAACACGAGAATCAGTGGTGAAATGGGGGGTTAGAAGCCGCCTAGCTATTCAAGTCTGAAAATCATGTGTGTTTTGCAATTGGCTTCTCAAAATTTTCAGGAATTGTGCAGTGTGATCCTCATTAGTTTGTGATATTCTAGATAGTTAACAAAGTTGTGATACGAGTCATTGGCCTCAGATGTTTATTATTTTGTCCCTTCTACTGCATCAAATTGAAGTTTCTTCTTCGCGATAGATTTTTTAGTTTGCTTTCATCTTTTTATTAATTTTTTGAAGTTCCCTTTGACAAGGGACCATAAATTACTCCATTGGAAATGTTTCACAGTAGGTGGGGGTAAATATTGTCAAACCCTTTTGGTGAAGATATAAATTCATCATACGTTGAGAAGCTAGCGTCTGTCTAAGCTTTACGTAAAAGTTAATACATTTAGTGGTACTGCTGTGAATAATATCCATAGTATAAACTTAAATTGGAAAGAAAGATGTTTATGATCTTCAGGTGTCTCTATCCATAGTATAAACTTAAATTGGAAAGAAAGATGTTTATGATCTTCAGGTGTCTCTTCGAACCGTTCTTTTCTTGTGCATATGGCAAGGAAAAGGATCCTCCCTCTCGTTCTTTTCTTCAAGAACTATTTGCAGACCAGTGAGAATGCAGTTCGATTTCTTAAATCAGTCACTTGGGTTTTGGGTGGCATAATCAAGAGAGAGCGGTGATGTAAGGTTCATAGAGAGCTATGGAACTGAGGGCTCGAAGTTAAGAACACTCGTATTGCATAACCTTAGTTACTTTGCCTGAAGCCCAGTCGGTTTAAATATTCACCAAGAAAGTTAAAGGAATCGGTTCTTGATCCTCACTCTCAGATGTTTCCTACTGCAATCCTTATCACGAGTTCAACGAGCAAGGAGAGTGGGAGGCTAAGATTGATTGCTTTGATAGTTATGGGTGGTCACAAGCTGTTTCTATTGCTTACCAGATGGTGCCTGATGGGCTTGCTCTGATCAGAAGTTGAAGTTTGTTTATTATTTTGTTTGTGAATTGGAATATGATAAATTATAATTTGTTGTATCCCCATCTTTTTCTTTTATAGTTTTGATGGAAGGGTGACCCTGGGTATAATATATTTCCAGTATTGAAATAATGAAATATGATGTGAATTTATCGACAGTTTGAAGAAGTATATGTTGAGATTTGGGGACTAAGGCGAAAAGTTGCTCAAGATTATGGGGTCGCGAGGAGCTTACGGGTCAGTCTTCATAGCCATTGATGTCAAAAAACCAACACGTCTCCTCTGTTAAATTACTGAGAGTTTTGTATGTCAAATTTTGCTATACTATGGGATTCGTATCACTGTGATTTTCACTTCTTTTCTTGTTTATCAGCACCCATTATATTATCCATGCCATATACCAAGCAAAGAAGGCTTGAAACTGACTCAAATGACATGAGTACTCTTTCTTGGATTGAGGAGATACTTATGGCAATTAAACTTAAAAGGATTGATATACTGATGGAAATAAAACGTAAAGAGGTATTCGAACGGGATGATTAACGATCTTAATGTTTTATAAAGTGTTTTGATCATTTAAATGATTTTTCCCTTAAATATTAATTTAAGTTAAATGATTGAAATATGCTAATTATCTATTAATTCCTAATAAAAGAGACGATCACAATAACATCCCAAATTCCCGATAAGAGTCCCCACCAATTTATCCCAATGATCCCGGTTTCTATGTGGCCAAGCCCGCAAATGTAGAAATGTGGGCTTCTTAACGAATCTATTTTTTAGATGGATTTTAAGACTTAATTTTTAAGGACATATGATCTCTAATATGGAGATCATGAATATAAAATAATAAATAAATTTTAAAATTTAAAAATAATAATTTTAGTAAAAAAACATTTGGACTGTTAGTTTTCATTGTTTTTAGATAGAACACCTACATGCGTCCATCTCTAAGATAGATGCTTTACACTTTTTGAAAGCATAAGTAGAAATGAGGTCCAGCCTGCATGAAACAATTTTCTTATCTCAATTGCTATATTCAGTGCAATCAATGGTTTAAAAAGCGGATCGATGACCCGGATCGGGTACCCAAAAAACCGATCGGGATCGGCGAATAGGTGATCCGGATCGAAAATCGGGTGAATCGGTCAGAATAGAGCTTCAAAAAAATCCGAAAAAATTATTAAAATTCATTGTAATATTGATTTTTAGGAATTCAATAAGAAATGAGGGTAATCCATTAAGAATTTTCATGTTTTTGCATGAATATGCGAATATTGATAAGTTCTTTCCCTTCATGAACTACTATTCAACATTTAATTTACATCACACAAAAGGATGAACATAGAATTATCATGGAATAAGTATATCAATATACATGGACTACAATAAAGCATAAAATGAGTAACATACGATCTAAAAATAAAATGATAAACGACGTTGTTGTTCTTCTTGGTCACACTGGTGCCATTGATTGAATTCGTTTGACAATTCATTGATTCGATCTAAAAACGAAAAATCGAAATTAGCAGGCGTCTGACTATTCCCAAATCCCTGAGTGTTAGTGTTTTGTTGTGTTCCCAATCCAAAATCCCCGAAGCTTGTCCATCATTCATGCTCACCTGCACAGTGGTGCTCATCCCTACACTGTTGCTGTTGGGACTCGATATGTGAATAATATGGCCGGGATAGGGTGGCCTAAGAATCATCATCTCTCTCATTTTTTCTTAGACCCCCTTTCCACTCTCCCTCATTAAGTGCAATATCACCGACATCTCCGACGAATTGTGGATACGTTGGCTGGCTGCTTCCTCTTTCATGCTGCTCATCACTTTCTACATGATCTTAATCACCGATAGCCTCAAGGAATGCTCTCTTGTGCAACACTGGCTCCTCCTCTTCTACTACCCATTGGTCTGCTGTGTCTGTGACAATTA